CACGCAAACTTGGATTTACAGTAGCTTTTTTCCGCAACCCTTTAACTATGGAATATGACCGGTATAATATGGATCCAGACTTCGAAACCCCGTGTCCCCTGTGAACGTGTCCAGCCCTCTTGTTCCATGGGTATGGAACGACCCTACCTGTTCCATACGCGTGGAACGATGGCTTGTTACATGATTGTTGCAAAAGTACCAAGAAGGACCTCAGCAAAAAGGTTGTCAAACAAATATCCTTTGGTTGCGTGCGTATGCATGCGTGCGCCGCATGCGTGCGTATGTGTGTAGCTCTGTCGCGCGCACGCGACGCCTGGCCCCAAGTCGCTACCAGAGGTGGCCCCTCAGTAATAACTTTTGCCTGGACACATTCTTTTAGTCCACGGACAGTTATGATGGGGTTTTGTTTTGCTATTCTTCGCCAACATTGCTTCTAGTGCCGAACTACAGTTTCTTCCTGTGCAAATCTAAGGGACGTGCTTTGCAGTTGCTGCTTGTTTCTCTGTCTCTGACGATTGCTTTCACCATGCAGGGCTGCATTTAGTTCCTGTTCTACATACTTCCACTATAGACTACGATGGGTGTGCGATTTGTCACTCACCAAGAAGCTTTGTCCTGCGCGCGCGAGCGACACCCTGCCCCTCGTCCTCCCCAATTATTACCTTTTAGCCTGGAGCATTCTTGTTGTGCCACGGAAGTTCTGAGTCGCCATTAGTTTTGCTATTTCTCGCCACAGTTGCGCAGGAGCATGCTTTGCATTGATGGCCACTTGCGACTTGCTTCTCCATGACACTCATACTTTCTTCGACCATACAAGCGTTGCTTTGCTGGTTCGCCCGCCTTTCCTCTTGGCCGCCCGCTAGCTTTCATTTGCCTCCCCCTGGCCTCAAGTCATTGGATCACTGCTACCTCAGACATCCCACTTTTGCTGACCAGGTGTTAGAACCCTCAGCACCTGGACAGACAGATTGCCAAGTCGCTTAGCCGTGCCACCCATGGTCAAACTCCTTGCCATCTTCAACCTCTTCAGCAGCGAGCTCGTAAATGTTGGTTACTGGGTATCCGCCGGGAACGTCATTACCATTCTACATCCGTTGTGGCTGCACATGTTGGGACTCTCCGAACTGTACACCTTCTGTGTGCTTTGCATGTTGGGTTGTCTCTAAATAGGAAGCATACAAAAAGTAGTTAATTGGTTTCCGTTTGGTGCTCCTCTACACTCCCCAATTAGGGGGTAGCAACTCATCGCGAGCCTCGCCCTTCGCGAGGAACACCTCCGGGGAGTGCATCAAGAGCTTTATGGAGTATACGGTTTCCTGCCACCTGCCAGATGGGAGCCACCTCAGCCAGTGCCTTTGGTGGAGAAAATAAACGTGTCTTTTGGGCTGAGATCTCGGTTGAAACTGTGGCTGTATAACGGAAGACGGCAATGACTCAGCTTGGATGGCCTAGATGGCAACCCTTTCAGATTTGTTGGTCCTTTGTGTGACGTTTGATCAATGCTCTGTCTCAATGTCCGGGCTTCTTCCTTTTGCAAGGATGCTCGATGTTTGCTCTCTTCGGCTATACTTGTCGATCCAAGACGGATGTGAGGTAGACCGTAGACGCAATCTTGCTCCTGCCCACAGCTCGACATTGAAAAGCACTGCTTCACTTTCCAGGACACGCTTGGTATCCTCACGCTTCCTGGCGTGCGACACGCACGTGCTTACAGGTTTGGATTCACCTTGGGTCACCGTTGTACAATGCGAACCACAGCGGAGGGAAGACAATAGATACGCCCAGAGCAACCTTTGTACTGGATATGCCACTGGCGCTGGGTTACGCAGCTGAAACACCAAAGCCTTTGATTGGCAGTTGGGGGGCGAAGTTTCTGACTCGACTCTCTCAGAGCCACCAAGCACAAAGATGTGGCTGCGCCGAAGATGAAGCTTTGCCCTCAAGAGCCCAGAAGGGAAGGTGAAGGACTAAACCAAGATTAAGAACCACTGTTCCAATCATATGCCAGAAAATGCAGTCAGGAGGGGTTGGCATTTATTCCAATTACTTCGCCCTAAGAGCCGTTTGAATCCTCACTTTAGGGCTGCCAAGGTGGGTCGACTCAGAGCCCGGAGACCTCTTCAAGAGCCAAGTCGTCTTGGCCTTGGCCAACTGGATCAGCTCCAAGTCACAGCAGCTGGACATGCACGTCATCACCATGGCGAGAAGCCACCTGGGCGGCGATTGCCATTTGAACAATCACTGCCCGTTAGAAGGCCAGCTCGGTCCTGCCGTCCAGCGGATGAATCAATGCAGTGCGAGGATACAGAATTACATGCATCAGAAACCAGCGGATTCCTTGTGCCACTTGCCATGGCTCGTTTTTTTCTTCTTTTTGCAAAAGGCAAGGTTTTGCCTAGCCGTTTTGTTGAAACAACAGTGCCCTGTAGTTTCTGTAGATCATGCTGGTTCCGTACCTGACACCAATGTCAGCTTTTGATACCTGCTGTACTCTGGATGACATGACAGCAATAGCCAAATACTTGAAGTAAGCAGTGCGAATACCGTCAATCGGATGTGTCTCGAACGTGTTGATCCCCTTTCGGTGCTTCAAAGGATTTTTTTGTTTGAGAGTGTCTCCCTTAGCCACTATTGACACCCGGGTTGAAGGACTATTCCCAACTAATAGGTGTAGCTACCCTTTTGGAATGCAGATTTGATGAGGCGGCCGTGGGTCGAACAAAGGTAACCCCACACCCTGGCAAATGGAAGCAAGGACTCAAGCCTGCGGTCCAAATCCAGGTTTAAAGTTCCCAACCCAATAGGTGTAGCTACCCTTTTAAAGATCCGCGACCGCACGTCGCAAGAAAAACCAATCGCCGCGAGTTTTGGGGTTTTCTTTTTTGGATGAGGTAAACAAATCAACCATATCCTCGAGCTTTTTCTGCCTCATTTTTGGGCCCCGAGGTGAGATCATCTACCACTTCACGATACAACTCTTGGGGCCGGAGAGCGCCTGCCTGGCCAGCGCTCTGGCTGGGCTCTCTGATCGCACTATGGAGACCACCTGCCTGCTGTCCCACATGGCCGCTCCGCTCCGGAATCAGTTTCCTTGTCCCTTTAAAGAAGCCCTATGTAATTATCTTTAAAAAATGGGAAGACGTGGCAGAGTTGGCAATTCGGGGCGATCTGGGTCATGCCGAGAGGGTCGGCTTCGTGCAATGCACCGCGGAGCGCGTAAGTTGTGAATGGCTTCTGCGTGTTTGCCTGCGTGCGTGCATGTTTGTTTTGCATTTGCTTTCTAGGCTGTGGAAGAAACCCACCTACGTCCAATCGCTCCTTTGGTGCACAGACCAGGAGAGAACCATTGAGGCCAGAACGCAACTCATTTTCTGTAGTATTTCTGGCCTTTCTGCACCGCGGTGCACTCCATTTCCGCAAATGGTGCCAACCTGGGCAAAATGCTCAGTGCCCACGTTTTAGCGCCCCCGTTCGACGCCCAGCTCTTGCAAAGTTGAACGTCGCCATGTGGGGTGCGTCCACCACACACCAACCAACAAAGGCTCAAATTGTCCTGGAATGTCCCATCCCATTGCTTCGATCCAAATATTGCCCCCTCTCTGGCAACATAAATAGCTCTGTGCAAGTTTGTTATGTGCAAGCGTGGTCTGTGCAAGTGTGATTCGTTCCATTGTCATCTATGCTGTAACATGGCAAGTATGCTTCGCGCACGTGTGTTCCGTGCATGTGTACTTTGCGCAAGTACATTTTGTGTAAGTCTTCTCTGGGTCAGTTCCTTGTTTGCGACATTGCTTTTTCCTCGCCGGTCATTCTTTTATTTGGTCGTTGTGACGCAGGTGCGCTTTTCAGGGACTCATAGTTCTTGGCCCACGGCCTGGTCATGTTTGGCAGGGCAGGCGCTGTTTGCGCATGTTAGAAGCCATGGTATCCGACCTTTGCACAGTGCAACGTTGTATATGCAAAATTGCAAGAGTGTAAGTCCTTGAGCAAAATGTATTTCATTGGATCAGAGGTACCATCAGTATCACAATTCCTTTGTTTGGAGTTGGGCCACACTAAGAACTCTCCGTAGGTCTCGTGTGGCAACGTGAGAAAGCCGGACTTACCGCCTTCCCCATTGAAGATCAACCGAACTGTCGTTGTCAATTAAGGTCAGCCAGCTGGAATTGATTCGTGCCAAAGTCGCGAAAGTTGCTTTGGAGCTATGGTCACACGAGACGTTTGTGCCCGAAGTCAAGATGAATCATGCAACCCTTTTCCAGATGCAATTCTGCCGCTGCTTCACCGTCACGGACCACTACAGCCCCTCAGCTTGACGCATTTCATGATAGCCATGCTCATCAAATTGTATCCTGACATCCGGGTCATGCCAGCCCAACTAGCCCAACTAGCCCAACTTTCGGCATGTGAAAGGGATGTAAGCCATGGAAGAGGTCAGTTGGGAGCCGTCCTGCCTTGGAGCCTTGGCCATGTGGTTCACTGAGGTTCTCCTGCGTTGGAGCCACATGAAGTCGATGAGGCCTCCTTCCAAGACTCACAGTTTGGCATCATTCTTATAGACTCCTACGGCAGCCTGATGAAGCTGCTGCTGCACATGGAGGAGCTCACACACAATGAAGAAGCACGCAGAAGGCCGAGTCAGAGGGAAGGACTCTTGCAGTGTCAAGGTTTTATTCTTGTCACTATGATACGCATTCAATGTTTTGCACAAAAGGGGCAACACGGCAACACGTCGCAGGCAAGTGCACGCCTTCACGCCTCGAATGTTCTCTCAAGCTATGCTAGACCGAGCCCGGACTCGGAATACGGTTCAAACGCGTTCCAACATTGCGCCCTATGAGTAGACAAGGGAGCTTGCGCATGTGAATATGCAAAACATGTGATGAATGAACACCGTGTTTGGAATTTCTTAGACCTGGGGGCGTCAGCTCTTGGTTTTCCGAGGCAGGTGAGAGGGTGGGAGGGTCGTTCCGCCCGCTCCCGCTCCCCGGAGATTGGTCATGGCCGTGGATTTCGAGGGCGTAGAGTTGCATCGAGAAGGAAAGCTGTGCCTGGTTCAGATGACCTTGAGTGACCGCCCCAATCTCGTGCCCTGGAGGAGACTTTAGGTGTTCTTGTTTTCCTTACACTGTACACTTGCAGCCTGCGAAAAGCCTCGCAGCACGGCGAGAAGTTCACTTCATGATGTTGCATTCACGTATATAGCGTGAGAAGAAAGGGGTGCATGTCTGCAGCACTTGGAAGCCGAACTGCATGAAACTCACCTAGCACCGAAGCGGACATGACAGCAACATTGACAGCCTTGGATGTGTCGCGGGACAGTCATGTAGATCCTGTCATTCTTATTTGATCCGGGAGTGTAACACCAGCTAGAGAGAGTACCCGAGCCTCAGGATGTTTGTTTTCCAGGGATTGGTTTTCACATGGCACCCTCAAACAGTCGAGTGCTGTGAAATCGATTCAGATGCTCGAACTTTCAGCACCGCGTTGACATCTGCCCTGTTTGAGCTGTGATGGAAAAGGTCTATGTCTTGGACGTCTTCGTTCTGCACAATGCCTTGCTCATGCAGACACCCCGGGGCACGTCTATGAAAGACATGCTGGAGAATGACCAGGTGCTCAAGGTGTGGTTCGATCCTCGCATCCTGGTTGGAATGGCGTTGATCTCTGAGATGCGTTGCTTGATACGATGATCTTACTGATTGTCACCTTCTCACACCACTCTCTTTTTTTTGTTTCTCTCTCTCTTTCCCTTCCCTCCCTCACGCGGTCTTGGAGCAATCCCTTTTTGGGGCATTCCAGCCCCACGGGATGCTCCCAGGCTCTAAGGCCCAGTTTTCAACAGGCTACCTTGGAAAACTGAACACTGAGCACGGAGCAAAGCTGAAGCTAAGCAAGCCTCTCGCAAGCTGTGCCCATTCGATCCTCACCTTCCGATTTTGTCCACCACTTTTCATCTTGGGACTTGTGTTTCTCGTATGGCCTAGTTTCGGCTAGGAGTTTCTTGCTTTCTAGCTTCCTGGACTCCTGGCATTTGGGCTTGCTGGTCTCCTGTTGACCGATTTTTGTTGTTTTTACCCCCTCTCTCTCTGCCTCTTGTTTCCGGCCAATCTCATGCTGTGTTGGTTTGACGGTTTGACGTCTCATAGGCTTGTGCTGTTGTGCCTTTGCAAACAATAAAACGCGCTCCCATTCAACAGCTGCTTGCTGGAGATTGGGTGTCAACTCAACCCACCCACTTCAAGTGCCTTTCCAAGTTCTGCATGAGCTGAGCTATTGGCGACATGCTGCCGTGGATCGACATGATGCCATAGGAAGACGTCAAGCGGTTGCACACTTGGCCGGTTAGGACCAGTAGCAGGATGGACAATGCTTGTGCGGAAAGACAACCTGGCAAAAACCATGCCAGCTTGGCAATGCTGACTGGCTTGTACTCAGTTGCCATATTGATTACATCGGCTCTGGGCTTCTCTCGCTCATCTCTCCAGATGCTGCATCATGAAAACATATTTGGGCATTCATTTGTCATCAGGCAGGGTTCTGTCGAGAAAATTAAACAAAGTGAAACTACATCAATGGTATTGGAGCGCTGCAGACAATGGAGGATTAGCCTCAAACACTATTTTGATTGTTCTTTTCTCGTTCCGGGAGCCTCGAGTGCACAGCTTGTCCGGAACTCTGAGTTGCTGAGGCAATGACGTGGACGCCTTGTTCCACCAATTTGGCATCCAGCCAAGCAACATCTTTGACTTGCAGTTGGCAGAGGTTGCCGGCCGAAGATCCAAGGGCCTCACTGTGAAGTATGCACCTTGGAGCGCGTTTTGGCGAGTAAAACGCGTAGAATGGCCACCTGTTGGGATGGAGTCCATCTGCCAGGTCAAGGATTGTGATTGGAGGACACTTGTGCAATCGCAAGGGACATCAGCAAGAACTTTGCACAGTCATCTTCCCTTCCACGTGCCTTTGAATTTTCTGGCCTTCCCGAAGGGTCTCCGCTGGAAATGGCCTCATTTTGCTATTTGGACTTCAGCACACAAAGAGTCGCAGCTTGAGATTCAAGGGTCTGGAAACACATTAGTCAGAAAGCACCAGTGCAGCACTCGATTGAATTCATGTTCAACTA